ACACACACACACACACACACACACACACACACACACGCACACTTCTGTCCCTTTTGTCTTGGAGGAGATATTGAAAGCTAGATAAGAGTAATTAAGGCTGATACAGTGATAAATATGCGCCCTGCCCCTTTAATTGATTCTGCTGCCTGTTATGGTGGAGGCAGAGGGTGACCTGCTACACACACACACACACACACACACACACACACACACACCAACACAACACACACACACACACACACACACACACACACACACACACACACACACACACACACACACACACACACACACACACACACACACACACACACACACTTTCTTCATCTTTCTGTCTTTATAAGAAGACTTAATGAAACCAGCAAAAGGCTGAGCGGGGCTAAACGTGCAGTCAGCCTTTTAATTGATTCAGACCTCCTGCTGTGTACGTCCTAATAAATGAGACATTTATCAGCGGTAACCGGCGCGTTCTTCTTCATCTTCCTCACCCTCTCCTCTTGTCCTGCTTCCTTCGCTCTGCCCTCCCAACGTTTTTTTTTTTTTTTTTTGGCTGATTTTCAACACCTCGAGGTGCACTGATGCAATGCATGTTAACACAGCAGAAAGTCAGACTTTAATATGTTACAGTCTGTCTGCTGTTCCCTCAGCCGTGGTGTGAAAAGCCCACACTGTAAAGGGGAATTCTGGGATTTTTTTTAAAGACATATTTAGGAGTGTAAATGACGAACAGGTGGGAAAAGTTTGGGAGCTGAGAGTCTGCAGCTGTGACATCGGGCTGTAAGGCTGTATTTGAATCTTTCAGGATGAATCCACTCAAACAGAGAACGTCCAGTAAACTCTTTTAGGTTTTGCCGCAGCATATGAAACAGAAAGTTCCCCCCTACCATCAAGGGAAGTTTCCTTTTTTGAATCCAGAGACAGCTTGACCTTTTTTTCCTCTTCAAAGCCACCAGACTCCATTGTCAAAATCAACCATTTAATAATGCAGGACACAGGAGTTGCTGTTTAACTTCGGACAGGAGCCTCTCTGTGGTGGAGATTGCATGTCCACCCCGTGCATGCACGGGTTCTCTGGTTTCCTCCCACAGTCCAAAGACATGCTCGTTAGGTTATTTGTGACTCTAAATTGCCTGTAGTTGTGGCTGATTAACTGGCAAACAGTCCAGGGTGACGTCGGTTGCAACTCGCCTCTCGTCCAATGGCAGCTGGGATCAGCTCCAGCCTCCCGCGACCCCGAACAGGAGAAGCAGTATAGATAATGGATGGATGTTGTAGTGGTGTATTTTCCCTGAAAGATTACATAGACAGCCATTTCAGCTGCTCCTACGAGCTATGGGACATGAACACCCCAATTATCTAAAAGTTGGACCTAGGTTTAAAAATAAAGGAAGTGCTCTTTGACTCAAAACTGAACAAGCAAACAAAATCCTGACGACATCCTGAGTCTCCTCACATGATCATTCCTCATGCTAACAGCTGGACGCTGTGTGTATCGCTGTGTCCCTCCCTGGAGGGTTGTTCTGCGTGTGTGTGTGTGTGTATGTGTGTGAGTTTGTGGTCTGTTGATGTGATGGATATGATGAGGGTCAAGGAGCACCGGCTGACACACCGAAGTTGTGATCCTGCAGAGTACATACAAACTCTCTCTCTCTCTCACACACACACACACGCTATTTTTCAACCACCTGACATGCAGCAGACGACTACAGCTGCGGAGAAAACACACAATAAGAACCACACACCTCATTACTCATCCGTCTGACAAAAACCACACACATACACACACTCACACAAACACCTCATCTCTCATAGGTGCTCACAGCGCTGTCACTCACACACACCTCAGAGTGCAAACAGCACCCCAAACACACACACACACACACACAAAAACATGCATGGCAGTGTGCAGCACAATAACAGAGCAGACAACCTGTTAGTCGTGCTTAGACGGGCTCCTCGACAGGTCTCTCAAATTATTTTCGTGCGTTTGTCCTGGGACCACAAAGACTGTCACTTATACGTCGCTCCGAGAAAGAAAACAGATTATTTTGAACAAAATAACTACAAGCCAGAGTTTCTTCAGAAAGGCTTCTCGTGAAACCGCTGAAGTCCATCACAGTTTTCATTCTGAGAGCTTTTTTGACTGTATTCAAATGGAAGTCATTGTTAAAGGGGACTGTTATATGTTCAGGTTTTCACAATAAATGGGCGACGGTCGCTCGAGTCTGTCCCAAAACCAAAGTGCGGACCAAATCTGGAAATTGCTCTGGTAGCTGGAGAGGGTGCCAGATCACTTCCTGAGCACTGCTTAGCTGCTCTTGAGCAAGGCAAGAAGCAAAGCAAGACAAGGCAACAACGGAGAACGTCCAGCAGAGGTCTGCACCTCCGAGGTCGACCATGGGGCGGTGCTAACGAAGACAATTAGTCTTAAAAAAAAAAAAAAAAACAGCCTTAAAATGTCTCCCTTCAGAATCCACAGGATATTTAAACACGCCACGTTTTTTTATTTGTCCTTGCACGATAACCACAAAGTCAGTAGATAGACTCATATCTTTGGCAAAAATAAAAACGTTTAAATTTGGCGACGTTTGGATCTACTATCAGGCACAAAAGGCTGAGAGAATTTTACAAAACCTGCACTGATTGAGGGCCAGCTTCCAGATGTTTAAATCTGTACTGAATTGTAAGCCGTTAAAAATAGGTTTTGAGGTTTTATTCACAGCCCTGGCTCCTAAAAACAACCAGAAAACGCAGTAGTTTTCATGCATTGTTTGTGCCTGTGGCGGCATCAGTGCTGTTAGTAAAAGTGGCTGCATTGTGGTGACACAGGAAGCCTTCTTATTGCAGTGAGTCGTTTATAAAGTCATTCAGAGATGAGCATTTAGACGTATAAAAGAGCTGTTTGTGTTACCCACCTATCAATATATCTCCTGCATGTGATCTTTGTATTACACCATTACAGACTACAGCCGAGTGGGAGGGATGCTTATGGCTCTAGTGCGTCGTCGTCTTTGTGTGTGGAGATACGAGCAGTGCGAGCTGATTGGCCGAGCAGCAGCGGGGCGCCCGATGCACAGAGCTGCTGTTTTCATGTCTGCGCGGACGGGGAGTGTTCTCAATCAGGGATTAGACTCACGCTGGGCATTATGTCGTGATCCCTTAATTTTTGAAGCATTAAATAAAAAGGTTTGTGTGTGTGTGTGTGTGTGTGTGTGTGCTTCTGCTTATATACAGTAATACTAGTAGTGGTTTTTCCTGTTATGCTTCATGGTGAAATCCCTGTAAAACTGGACATACGGCAAGTGCAGATGTGTTGTTGAGTGTGTGCATGTGTTCACCTGCTCCCCTGTGTGTCAGTGATGATGACCTGTGTGTGTGTACTGTGTGTGTGTGTGTGTGTGTGTGTACTGACGGAGGAGGAGAAGCCTGTGTGTGTTGGCTAATGGCATTGCAGGGAAGATTCACAGCCACAATAGAGCCTCCAGCTCCTCTTTTCTGCCCCCGCACACACACACAACACACACACACACGCTCTATTGTGGGGTAATCTCACACTGCCCAGATAAGTGGGTCACTATTTGTACTGGCAGCATGCGTGTGTGTGTGTGTGTGTGTGTTTTCATAAATAACCATTATTTTTAGTGTTTTTGCAGCTCTGCAGTCACTCAGTGAAGGTAATATCTGCAGAGAATTTATGCGTGGCTGTGCACGTCATAAAGTGTGTATTTACTCTGTGTGTGTTTGACAGAGGGTCCATCGGGGAGTTGTTGGCGGGGGGGGGGATAGCCAAGGAGCGGGCTGGTGGGCGGGAGCTTTTTAGCCATTAGTACTGGTGACACAATGAAAGTGACAAGGCAGAAGGACCTAATTGCACCCTTCTTGTCGTCAGCGGTTTTGGGGGCAATTTGGCTCTCCCGCTCCTTGAGTGTGTTTGCAACAGTTTGAGGCTCTTCCTTACCGTCTCTCTTTCCCCTCCGTCGTCTTTTATTAGTTTTCCCCCTGTGGGGTTGTTGATTTTGTCGACTTAGAGCCTTGCCTGACACTGTGGCAGAGGAGGGATGGATGGATGGAGGGAGGGAGGGGGGAGGGAGAGGGTAGACAGATAGAAATGTACACAGAGTGAAGGAGGGACAGCAGCGTCCGGCCGTCGTTCGCTCTTCGCCGTCTGCAAAGGGTGATTGATTGCGGCATTAGATTTTTTTTTTCTTTTTTTTTTCTGATTGGCGCCCGGCTGCCTCAAATGCACAGACTTTCTCTTTGATTTGTGTAAAGATATAGAACTCAAGCTTGACTGTTTGTGTGTGTTTTTTTTCCCTTCTTCTTCTTCCAGGAACTCAACCATGTTCTGAAAGGAGCGTTGGAGCGGCTGCGCGTAGAGAACCCCCCTGCTCAATACGACCCCCCTTCCAAGATGAGCCAAGTGAACTTCAGGTGAGAGTGGGTGTGCAGGTGTGCGTTCGAGGACGCTCTAGACACATCACATCACACCGCGAGCGAAGAACGCTGCCGTGATGGAGACGAGGATTAACACTCACAAACTGTCTTTGTTTGACAGCCTGACACTGACGGGATTAAACTGTCTCATGTTTGTGTGACACCCGTGTGTGTGTGTGTGTGTGTGTGTGTGTGTGTGTGTGTGGCTGTTGTTTGTGTGTTTGTGCTTAAACAGAGGTGAGTTATGAACAGGTTTACGTCTTCCACCTTATTGGTTCCTGTGAGTACACACTCTAAGTAATGTTTACTCCACTTGTTGTGAAAGTATGACGACAAGGCGACTCAATTTGCTCTGTCAGTAATTTTTTAAGATGTGGTACTCGTGCCACATTAAAGAAAAACAACTTGTTATATTACGAGAATAAACTGGAAATCTTAAAGGGATACTTCACCCATTTGCTTTAAGCTTTGTATCATTAGAAACCTCCGTATTTCTTGTCTGAAAAGGAGCCTCCGATGACGCAAAAATTGTCATTTTGCATCATCGGAGGCTGCTTTGGTTGGCGGTGGTGAAATTACATGGCTAGTTCCTCATGTTTTCAACCCACCTATAGGGGGTGGGACCTCACTCCCAGAATCTAAAAGCAACTTTGATTCAGACCACCATGCATCCTTTAAGGTTCATTACAAACTTCTTTATACTCTCACTCAAAACAGAAATTGTGAAAAGGGCTTTTGTGTGTTCAGCATCCTCCGCCTGCACGACGACTTGAAACTCGAGAAGAGGGAGTTTGTCTTTAAGACATTACAAGTAAAAAAAAAAAGTAGTCCTGAATCGCTTGTAATGAGGGAAACTGGCTGCAATCATTTCAGACACTATTAGCTACACTCACCTGTCAGGAGTGTGTGTTTGTGTGTGTGTGTTTGTGTGTGTGTGTGTGTGTGTGTGTGTGTGTGTGCGCAGGTGAATGAATGTCCTGAATGTCTTTGTGTTTGTTTGTTTTTTGGGCACTTTGCTTCCAGACGTTTGGCATAATGGAAGCTTTATCTTTGTTTCTCCAGGTTGTCAGACATGCAGCTCCCACGGCAACGGCTAAAACCTCAATCAGAGCCCTTTTACTTCTTAAAGTATTGAGGGGTAAAAGATGATTTCAGAGCCGGTTTCTGCAGCCGAGTGATTCTCCCGATTGAAAGTTGTCCTATTTAAAAATAACTCTGCTTTGGCTGAAGTGACAGATGGGATTCTCAGCTTTTTACAGTGCAGCGGTGTCTTGACGGCGCTGTGGTACAATGGAGGCACGGCTCCCACAGATAGTTTGCCGCGCCAACAGATGGTTGGCACGTGGAGGAAGCGGCGGTGAGCGAAGCGAGGGCGCGTTCTCAGTGCTGTGAGTTTGTTCTGTTGATGTAGAGGAAGTCAAGCAAGAGTGGGAGCTCCATCTGTCTCACTCCTCATTGCTCTTATCATGCGTCCCACCGTCCCTCACCTCTCCCTGCCTTTTCTCTCTCACCCCCAGTGGAACCACAGTGTTTGTGTTTCTGTCAGTGGGATGCTAAAAAAACGGGTGAGCGGAGCTATTCTGCATATTAGCATGCAGCGCTAACAAGCCACTGCTGCCTCTGATGAGCTTGTTTGTGCCGTCGTTAGTTTCTTCAGTGGATGTAAATGGAGTGGAGCTGAGTGTGTTTGTGCCACACACACTCTGCGAATACAGCATTCAGGATCGGCTTTGTACCTGTGTGCATGTGAGTGTGTGTGTCCTGATTGTTTACCCAAGCAAATTCACTGAGTGTGTGTGTGTGTGTGCATGGGTTGTGCACATGTGTAATTTAGACGTTACTGTGTTCTCTAATAGATGTAAATGTGATGCATGTGTGTATCTGTGAATTCAATTTAGAGGAATGTGACTGATGGTGTTTGTGAGCATGCAATAGATGTAGCAATAAGAATGCAAATTGTGTGTGTGTGTGTGTGTGTGTGGGTGGATGTGTGTGTACTGTACCCTGTGTGTGTGTGACCCTGGTGGAGGTTAACGAGAGCAGCACGACAGTGACAGAGGAGTGTGTTCTAATGATCCCAGCTAGTCCTTGGGCTCCCGTACGGCGCTCATAAACCTTGAACTTCTGCAGGCTTTTTGTTGTCAGAGCCGCTTTCATTTTTGCATTAACAGCCGTGCAGGGGGAACTTGTGCAGAAAACAACACCTGCATGTTTCTCGGGCCTCCAACTGAGCTTGCTCTTTCAGGATCGTTCTTCTTTACTGCTCCACAAAGCGGGTTCAGAGGATGAAGGAGGGGGGAAAAAATGGATGGCTCTGCTGAGAATGTTTAAAACAAGATCCAAAACATTGCAAGAACGAGTTGAATTCTTTTGAAAACATGTCTCAGGATGACTAGCTCAGATGTAGAGCGCTGGAAGTATTTACGTCGTCTCATAGGAAGGAGGCCCAGGTACTGTCTCCTTGTAGAGGCTCCCTGTGTTGTAATGAGACGAAGGCAGCATGACCAGATGCTGCCCTTTCTGGTTCTCAGGCTCCCAAAGAGTTCACAATGCAACCATCCATTCTCTTCCGCTTATCAGGGTAAGTCAGCCGAGGCTTCCTTCTCCCCGGCAACGTTCTCCAGCTCCTTCTTATGGATTTCAAGGCATTACCAGGCTAAACAGGATATATAACTCGAGCTCTGGGTCTAGCCTCAGGGTTTCCTCCAGAGTTTGACGTGCCCAGAAAACCTCCAAAGGGAGGCGTCCATGAGGCATCCTAATCAGATGCCCAAAACCACCTCAACTGGCTCCTTTGGATTACCAAAAAAAAAAGTTTCTCTTGAGGAGTTTTCAGGCCAAAGGGTTCTTGGGACTTTTTGAAGAGGAGCTGTCCACTAGTGGAGTTCCCTGAGAACATTTTGATTCTTAGTAGTTTGCATGGACAAGATTGTTTACCGGTACACAGTGGGAAAATGATGATTTAAAAAAAGTGCACAATTCAGTGCAAAAGGTTTGCAAACTCTCCTCCACAATCAAATAAAAGATTCCTCAGATTTTCAATTTCCCAAAATCTGAAACTCTGCAGTGACTAGTGCAATTTTTTGTGGCCTTTTATGCCTTGAGGGAGAGGGAGAGGGAGAGGGAGAGAGAGAGAGAGAGAGAGAGAGAGGATTCAAACTTGGACGTCCGCTTCGAGGACTACAGCCTCTGTACTTGAGCAAACATACATTATACACCACTGAAATGCTGCAGCAATCATCCTTTTATGTAATATGAAAAGCAGAGTCATTGTCTTTTTCTTCAGTCGTGTTGTTGTTGTTGTTTATCTTTCTGTTAAAAGGCACAGTTCAGGACTCTGCAGAGATTATTAGAGGAGCTCATTGTGTTTCATCTTGTGATCTGCTCTCCTCTGTCCTTCTCTCTCTCTTTTTTTATATCGCCTGCTCTCGTCTTTTGTCCAGCGGCTAGATTGGGTATTTGAGGAGCAGGTTCAGATAAGATTCAGAGGCCCGACCTCCAACACACACTCCCACAAAGACACACACATTTTCTGGAGAACCTGTAAGCTCATTGGCTGGCCTATCTGTACGGCCTGGAGGAAAATGCAAATAGATTTTGGAGAGAGACTGGGAGCGTGTGTTTGTGTGTCTTACTGTTTCCTGTATTTGACGAGCTACTCTGAAAGTGTGATGAGCTCGGCTGCCAGTTAATCTGTATGAACTTAAACTTAACACAGTGTCTTCCCCCAACAAATGACTGGAACTAATGCATGTTCCTGCTGCAGTTTCATTTGCACATTACTTAAACTATTCATTATGAAGTCTATAAAAGTTCAGTCAGTGGTAAAAGTTGTTCACAACCCGACTCTGGAGGCCTGACGGAAACAAGGGAAACATACGGTTTAACTTGACGGTGCAAAAGTTGATCACCAGAAGAAGAAAATCAGCTGGCTCCACATGAGTCTGTATGCAGAGGTGATGACGTCATGTATTTGTCATTAGCAGGTTCATTTTGATACCGCTGAAATCGTCCCCGTCTTGCGCTCAGGTTGATGAAGTTTTTGCCCTGCTTCACTTTCTGCAGAGAGTGAAAAACTATTTGATTCACGAAATTAAAGATAAGTTGCACTAATGATGCTCCTGCCACTCTCTATTTCTATATTTAGGATTTGTATGTCCTGGTTTTCAGTGTCTGTAAAGAAGTCTCTGTGCATGTGTGTTTTTTTTGACAGCTCCATGACGAAGTCGGTGGAGTTTCCAGCTGACTGGGGCCCTCTGGGTATCCATGTCGTCCCCTACTGCTCCTCTCTGAGTGGACGGTAAGCGCACACACACACACACACACACACACACACACACACACACTCTCATAATTAATGTGACTTCCATAAGGAAAGGCAGATGGCAATGTTGACTTATAGACATGCATAAAGAATTCAAGCGCTGCTGGCATGCAGTCATCTAAGTGTTTACCTCCCTGGATTCATATTGACTCAGTGTGTGTGTGTGTGTGTGTGTGTGTTTCAAGAACCCTGGGCCTCCACATTAAAGGCATCGAGGAAAACAGCCGCGCCAAGAAAGAGGATCTCTTCAAGGAGGACGAGTGCATCGTTCAGATCAACGACACGCCGCTCCAGGACAAAACCTTTGCACAGTGAGTATACTCCATACAGATTCCGGGGTTGAAAGCAGCCATGTTGCGCTGTTTTACTTTACAAAAGCTTGTCATGTCATCCAATCAGCTTTCACTATTCATTAATAAATATCTCAAACTTCAAGCTCTGAATGTTAGAGTGGTGACCTCATCTTCGCTCAGCATTTCCATTTTCTGAAGTACACACTGTTGTCACTGAAACAACTCTTTATCCTCTCAGTGTTTGGATATTTTGGACACCAAACACATACCTCAGAGGTGCTAATGAGCTTCTGTTACACTTTGTCGACCCTGATTTGTTTCCCAGTTTCAGGGCTATGTTGCATGCGTTAGAAGGTATTATTTCACACATGCGTATATACCTGACAGTAATCATAGGCCAATCCTTACAGCAGAACCTTCTCTAGCTTCCATTTGACTTAGAACAAGATCATGTGCTGCAAAATGAACATGATGCCCCGTTGAAGTAGACTTGAAACTAGAGAGTTAGACGACAAAGTAATCAGGAAAATGTTTACTGAGGCAATAAATCAACTTTGGAAGTGAGCTCATTTTCTTTCGCAACCATTTGAGTCGCCCCCTGCTGGCCGTTAAAACGGCAGCAGGGTGAAGGCGGGCCCTTGGTGGCATCATTGTTGAAACGAGAGTCTGCGTCTGCTCTAAAGACGAGAGGACCTGCTTCAGAGTCGTTAAACTGATTGATTCGTCCTCGTGAAATTGACAGGATGCAATCAGTGAGATGATTCCGTCATAGAGAAGAAAAAGAAACCATTCTGTCGGGTCTTTTTTTAAATCTATAAAAACAAGCAGTCCTCTTATGATTGCAGAGTGAGGTTTCTCTCTCTAACAAAGCTGAGCACAGATTATAGCTTGACCTTAAACCAATCGAAACCAATCCTAGAAATAAACGTCTTGTCTTTTTTTTTTTATGTGTCAGGGATGTAATTAGAGGCTAAATAAAGCCCCAAAAAGGCAGAACAATAACATCTTTCTGTGTTTGTGTGCCGTGTACTACCTCTTGCCTGCCACCATTGTTACAAGATATCTCACCTGCCGTTCAGTTTGTCTCCTTTATCAGCAGAGACAAATCCCTCTCATTGTGTGTGCCTTTGCTATCTCTCCACCACATCTCTGCTTTCTTTCTGTTCCTTTCCTAATTTTCTCCTCCCACACCTCCTCGTCCCCGTCCTCGCTCTATTCTCTCCGTCCTCTCTCTGTGTCGGAGCTGAATGGGGTTGTCTGTGCTGTGTGGATGTTGTTGCTGATGGTAGTCTATTAAAGCCCGCTGTAAGGTCTCTCCCACATCTGACAGGGACCGCGGCGTCCCAAACCAGCTGGAGGAGTCACTCCGTGCCCGATCCAAATTGAAAACACAGCTCCATTTGCGATGCACAAGCCGTTCCCCTTCTGTGCGCCGCCTGACTTTCTCCCTCTTTGTACTGTTCCTCCAGGCAAACTGCCACTGTTGGCTTAAGTCTTGTGCTGCGTGAAGTGCCACAAATATGATCATTATAACTTTTTTATGACTGAAATGGGATTATTTGATCATTCAGATAGTTTAAAGAGGACCCTGATATTAACAGAGGCTTGAAAATAAAACAGACTGCTTATTATTCAATCTGTAAATGTAGATTAGCAGGCGAGCAGGTCGTCCATGGAACATTTTTCAGGTTATTGCACGGCCCATGCACAGAGGTTTTTTGTCCTCATGGCAGCAGCCGCGTGTTTGGCCTCGACCGTCGCCGCTGCATGTTATCGCCCACTCTCTCCTCCCAGCATTTCCTGTCTCTCTTCAGCTGTCCTGTCTCATAAAAAGGCATCAAAAGGACCAAATATAACAAAAAAAAAGACAATTTAAACCATCACAAACAAAGAATATCACATCTCAAATGCTATTCTGCAGACACATCATCTCCTGCAGGATTCACCCGGTGTGCAGTTCATGTATGTTCTATAATCTACATGCTAACAGGCTGTTGTTGAACTTTCTTCTGCCTGAAATACAGAATAAGACAGAGATGTATGATTGCGATGTGACTTTTTCTCATTCCTTCATTTGACCTTTCCGTCCCCAGGTCTCAGGAAGTTTTCCGCCAGGCAATGAACACGTCCTCTGTGCGTCTAGAAGTCGTCCCGGTGGGCAATAAGCATCGCTACGAGAAGAGCCTCATCGGGCAGCTCTTCGACGCCAAAGAGGCCGCTGCTAAAGCGAAGAGTCCCATGGTGGTCCCGGCGAAAACGGAACCCCAGCCGGAACCCAAACAAGAGCCCAAACCGATCAGCAGACTGGAAGTGAGGCAGCCGGATCCGCGCGCGAAGACCCCGGAGCCGTCTGCTGCGATAAACACACCGCCTCCATTGCCTCTGTCCGGGCCCGTGGAGAGGGTCTCCCCCGCACTTCCAGCCAGAGCGGCGAGCGCGTCACCGTCTCCCAACACCCGCAGCCAGAGCCCCCTGACCAGTAAGAGCCCCGTTGTGTCCAGCCTGGCCAACCTGGCCAACAAGAAGGGAGGCAAGAGGATCAAAATCGACCTGAAGAAAGGTAAAGAGGCAGCCTTCTGTTTGATACTTGAGAAAGCTCTCTTCTTGGTTGTTAACTATAATCACCATGGTTGCGAGGACAACACAGTCCGACGGTGGTGGCTGGGGCGTCAGGGACGTCAGATCCCCTCGCTGAAGGTTGAGGGGGGAGCTCCGTCTCGAGCTCGGCCTCTGCCTCTTCTAACACACTGCGACAGCGAACGGCGGCGTGAGCCTCAAAGTCTCTCATGATTTAAATTTCACATTTCAAAAAGAGCAAACAGAAAATCATTTCGCAAAGCTTGTATAAGGTTCAACTCACACACTCCTATCCCTTCCTAGATAGTAAAAATGATCCCCGGTCTTTTTGAGGGTATTTTAGCTTATTTTTAGTTTTCTTCCACATTTCTTTTTCTTATCTCATAACAAGGGAACTCAAATCTCCTGAGCGGCTCATTTGGAAATTCTCGATGTGATATTTCCCCCTAGAAGACAGATTTATTTGAGGTATCGATTTTTGGAAAGAAAGAGTTCCATATAAGGCTCATCCCCCTGAAAGAACATTAAGTCACTATTGAAAGTAACTTTCCATCGTGAAGACATTTTCCATTTCTTAAGGATAACCTCACAGACCATGCGTCTGTTTTTACCTTTTAGGTTTTAACCCAACCTGAATCAGTCTGGCTTGCCGGCCGCCTTATCTCTTATCCCTCTCAAACACATCCGTGCAGGAGCTGCTGATGTGTTGATAACACTGGAATAGCTTCTTTGGGCTGTGAATAGGCTCTGTTCTAGCAACCTGTAGTGTTACGGGGTATTGAAAAGGATTGCTGTAATTGGGCTGCGTGCACACGCCCACACACACTCGCTACAGGTGCCCGGAGAAAAAGCCGGAGACACTCAGATGAAAGGATGGAAGAAAAATGGGCTTCACACTTTTCAGCTCTCTCCGCCTTTTTACCGTCTCTTTTTGTTCCCAGCACCTTTTCCATCCCTCCTATTTTCTTCTCCTTCTCCCTCCATCTTTCCATTGTTTGATTTTGTTCCCCCCCCGTCTGCCTCGATCCCTTTCACTCGATGCAAGATCAGAGCGGGGGATATTATGGGGTTTCTAACACCCTCTCCCTTGGCAACAGGCTCTTTCTCTCCCTGATTGACAGGCGGTGAGGTTTTAGGTGCGCTAATGTAGGGCAGGCAGAGGCTTAACTGGGAGACCAGATAGCATCGCTCACCGCCTTTAGTATGCCACGCCGGCTTTGCTCACACACACACACACACCCACACACACACACACACACACACACACACACCCCACACACACACACACACACACACAGAGCGTGGCACATTTCACTCATGGCTTGGGGCTTGTGAGGCCGTGAAAAAGGGAGAGGGTGGAGGCTCTGGGGGTTGATGGCTCATGCTTGTGTGTGTGTGTGTGTGTGTGTGGTGTGTGTGTGGCCCCTGAAATACACACAGACACACTTGTAAGTGTATACACACAGATAAAACCAAGCTCACACCCACAAGGAAAATCTTTGTGGAAATCACGTTGCATCCCCAGGGAGGGAAGCTAGAGAAGGGAATAATATCTCTCAGGTTCTTCGCTCTCTCTTACCCCCCCCCCTGCCTCCACCTTCCTCCCATCTTCTCCCTCTGCCTCCCTTCATCAGCCACCGTTCGGCCTGCTCACACGTGAAATTAAAGGCAGAGTCTGTCTAATCCGGCTCGGAGAGAAGCCTTCTCCCGGCAGCTCAGAGGATGAGCCAGGCAACAGCCCCCCCCCGCCCCACACGCTCCCTCTCTCCTCCAGAGGAAAGCAGACTCTTAAACAGAAGTTAATGTGGTTTAAGCTGCTCAAACTGTGGACCAGGTTCATCCGGACCAGAGAGGGGAGAAGTGAACAAAAAGGAGGAAAATCTAGAAATGTCATAAAGTTAATGAATTAAAAAAATCTTCTTTTCCTCCAGGTGCAGAGGGTCTGGGCTTTACCGTGGTAACCCGAGACTCCTCGGTCCACGGGCCAGGGCCGATCCTCGTGAAGAACATCCTGTCCCGCGGTGCCGCTGTGAAAGATGGCCGCCTGCAGCCGGGAGACCGCATCCTGGAGGTAGGATTTCCAAAAGTGACGTGTGGTCGTTTTTTTTAAAGGCACAGCAAGATTACAAAAAAAAACAGTCAGCACAGCACAAAATTCTTCCTGTTCCACAGATCAAACCTGGAACGCAAAAAGTCCCCCGTGTCACAACCAAAGCTAGAACAAAAAAAAACATGTAAATGTGTATTTATTGGATTTGTTTGCATCCATTGTTATATTTTAAACTTGAAGATATTAACCACATAGGCAAATACATTCTTGAAAAGTATGATGTGTGGCACCTCTGACATGTTTACAGACATGTCAACATGATTCTCTACAGGTGAACAGGTTATCTGTCATGATGCCTATGTGACTCATAACCCGCCTTAAGCTAAACTTGGCATTTTCAGTTACGGAGGATAACCCGAGCAGCTGGAATATAAAGCCTGTTAGAGCCACGGCAAATACTGTACTGACTTGTAGATCATCGGTAAACACGACCCCGTCGAATTGATCCTGCAAAACCCTGAGTTGTTTTGATCCACACTTCAATGCATTTCAAGTTCTAAAACCTATTTTATGAGCACGGAAATGCAGAACATGAAGTATCATATGTCGCTGACGAAGCAGTGGGAGCAACTTGGGGATCCGAGAGGATGCGAGAGCTCAGGAGCTCCCAGGGAAACATGTGATTATAACATCATGAATGGTCAAATTCAAATCCTTATATCCTGCAGATGAACACATTTCTACTGTAGAGTGTTTTAGGTCGGACTTCTTTCTACAGAAGAAAAAGTCCGCTTGAAGTTTGTGAAGAACGCCTCAATATTGTAGACTCACAACCTTTCTGAAAACCATCATTAGACGTGTTTCTTCTTCTTCTGCCACTTCCCTCGAACTCTCTAACATGTTAAGCGTCGTCCTCTACGAGTGTCGTTCGATTGTGTTATTGAAGCTCTGCCAGCGGATCACACACCTGGCTTTAATCTGCTCCCCTGTGCGTTTGCTTTCTGCCCTGTTTCTGTTTGGTGCGTAGGTGAACGGAGTCGAAATGACAGGCCGCAGCCAGGAGGAGCTGGTCGCCATGCTGCGTAGCACCAAGCAGGGGGAGAGCGTGTGTGTGGTGGTGGCGAGGCAGGAGGACATCTTCTTGCCTCGGGAACTGGTAAGAGAGTGTGAAGATGCAAAAAAACACACAGCTGGCTGAACCTCCAGAGTACCCCCCACCCCCTCCCCGCCCCCCCCCCCCCAGCCACTTCTCTCTCTTCTTTGCTCTGTCAGCTTCTCTCTCTTCATGGTCGTCACTCTTTCTGTCTCCTCCTCCTCCTCCTCTTCGTTTCCCCTCTTTCCTTCCTCCACATTGTGCCACTTTTTCCTCTTTTTCGCTCCACTTTTCGCTCTATGCCCTTGTGCCTATAAACACCACACACACACACACACACACACACACACACACACACACACACACACACACACACAAAACAAACACACCCAGAGCACGCTCCAGCCCTTCCTGTCCCTCTTTGGTTTGTTGACACAGCCAGTGCACGAGGAAGTTGCACATATGCCACAGCAGCCCTGCAGGAAACGTGCAAGCATGTCCACGCATGTCGGCACGCTGCAGGTTTTAAGTGACCGTGTACCTGCGGCCGCTCACAGAGTCACAGGTCAACATCAGGGCTGTGGAACCAGAGACATTTTATCAATAAACACACACACACACACACACACACACACACACAGTACAGGTGGCCTTGTGAAAGTCAGCCGCTCTCTGTAAATGATGTTTTGACTCTGTTCTCTCCCCTCTGTCCTCTGCGGTTATTCTGATGATTCCCTTTCCGTTACTTCAAAGAGGTCTGAAAAAGGCGCGCTGGGCCCTTTGTAGTGACTGCTGCATATTCACACCTCGAGTTTTGCTGCGCACACACTCAAGCAGACAAACTCCTTAACACCGAGTCCTTGATAAAAACTTGAACACTTGTGCTCAGACACACACACACACACACACACACACACACACACACACACACACACACACACACACACACACACACACACACACACACAGTCTTTAAACATCCAAGTTACTGCTTCTCAAAATAGTTTGCCCTCATTAATGGCCCAGCAGTCTTGGCATAACAAGTGCACTTTGAAGAGCCTCTACAGTTTTCATCTAACACTTGCTTGTATTTGTGCATTAGAGACTTAAAGAGAGAAAGGGAGAGAGAGAAAGAGAGAGAGAGAGAGCGAGGGAGGCAGGCAGGCAGGCAGGCAGAATGAGAGAGAGCCTTCACTCCTGTCTCTGTTGAAGTTGTCGGTGCCCCCTGTGAGATCTGGCCCCCTTATCTCCAGCACAGTCCTCAAACCTCAAAGACGGTTTGATGTCCCCTAAGCGCGCACACACACACACACACACACACACACGTATATATACCCTCACATATTTACAGACATAACAACACACGGGCACTCTAGAGAGTCTGCGTCATTGAATCTAGATGTGCGAACCCTCAAAAAGCAATGGATTACATAAAAAGCACAGATGCAGTAACTACCAGAGAGAGAGAGAGAGAGAGAGAGAGAGAGAGAGAATTCCAGCTGCAGACAAGGGCGATCAACCTGCAACGATTTGCAATACGAAAACATGCTGCAAATGTAGGTACAGATGCAAATCCAAAAACTCATCCAAAAGTCCAGAAAAGGAATGCGACGTGCTGCAAAGAGATGTTTGTGCCTTATTGTAGAGACAGGACAGTGAGTAGAGTAGAGATTTCTTTTAAAAGAATTGTATTTGAATGTAAAAGTGAGGGAGACGTCTCTGCATTTGCAGAACGATTGATGTTGATGCAGTTGTTGCTTTATGCTGAGCGAATCTTTTTCATTTGCATTTTTCTTTTGGAGTTTTGCATGTGCCGGTGTATTTGCATCACCATTTGAGCCGCCGCAACATCAGTCGCCTCTGTCGGCCACCTTGGATAGTTCATCATCATTCAAACTAGCCAAATGAGTTACATGCAAGAGCCTGCACACACACGTAATATACACACCAAACACAGCTACACAACGAGGGAACGCATCCCCTCCTTTTTTGAAAAATCTTCCTTAAAAACACAAAAAGAAGGATTGCGTCCCTCCCTCTCCTCCCTCGCCCTCTTTTTTAAAATTGCGCCACTTCTTCTCAAGTTGTAAATTGTTGTGGAAATTCACGAGGAGCGCTAGCAAGGAGCGGCTCACTACGATTTAGTCGCACAAAAGATGTAATGATGATGGAGGCGCATTAAGCCGACGTGGCCATCTGCCGATCCCAAAAAAATGTCTCCTGTGTAGGTGTCTTGTCTGCATGTCTGCCTGGCTGCACATAAATATTCATCACGGTTTCAGTCGCTGTGTCATCTTGTAAAAAAAAAACTGCCGTTATGTATCCACAGAACCACGGTGGTATTTGTTAAAAACAGAAGCATCAGATGCAGATCAGCAATTCATTATCGCACTTTTACATGAAGGATCGGCTGAGATTAATTGGCTGAAAAACAATTCAGAGTTTTCCTTGAGTAACCTCGCTGTTGCTGCCACAGATAATTAATCCACAGTATCAGTTTATTCGCATAAATCAAGGTTTAACTCGCTCCGCTTGATGCTTGAGCTGTTCTAATATGAAAAAACAACAACGTCACTTTGGATATCTGGAACCATTCATGACACATTTAAATGAAATGATCTGTAAGTAGTGGCTGATTACCTGATCACAATGTGATTATGTGCCTGCAGGAGGAAAGCCCCACCTGCAGGTTTGAACCGAAAAAAAAGCCTCTCTTAAAATCTCACCCACTGAAGAAAAGTTTGCTCATGCCTTTTTGTGTATCCTTTAAAACTCCTAAACAGGTTAAGAGATTAACAAGAAGCCGGTTAAAACGGCTCGATTCAGCTCAGAAGCGGGTATATATTTTTAGAAAGGTGTGGGTACGGTGCATGACAAAGACTCCAGAGAGAAAGTATCAGTCAAGGCGGTATGGAGAGAGAAAGAGAAAGATCATTACTCACAGGGTCGCGTCCTTGTATCCAAAATAATTAAATTTAACGTCTGACTGAACCTGAAAGTGACACTGAAATAAATAAGTCCAGGGAAGTTGGCTGTCATCGCTGAAGAGGAGAGTATTAGTAACATTCAGACACTTCTGCACATTAAGGATGAAGTGTGTGCTTCAAATACCAACAAAGCTCTTTCATAGTTACTCCTGTCAGAAACGGGGACAAAGCTCTGCAGCTCCATTCACATGCAGTACCTCTCACGAGGCCCTGACACGCCGGGCAGAGCTAAAACTAGGGCGACGATGGCTCGCCGACGGTTCCACTACGACCGACGGACGACGATCTCCTCGGTCTTAAGCAGCGGTGACCAGTTTGGTAATGCTCAAAAAATGATTGCGAGAACTGTAATTGGTCCCAAATCAGAATGTTGATGACTTAAAACTCTGAAGCTCTTTCAATTTCATCTTGCTGGAGACAAGAATGCATTCACTAAATGTCATGGCAGTGCGTCCAAACTCAATCTGGATATTTCCGTCTCAGCTCAAAGTGGCGGACAGACCAACATGCCGAGGAGTTCTGCAGCGACATGTCTAAAAATAAGTGAGAGAAGAGGGTAAAATGACTGAGTTAGGTTCTTTATTGCACAGAGGCAGATTTTTAAGTGAAGGACACTTGGAGAGTAGAGGTCAGTTCATCATGCCGGATGCAGCAGCAGCCCTGGACATGGTCAGACTTTTTATTTGTTTTTGCCAGAAGATGCTTCAGAAGTGACTGACGCAGCAGTTTGAAGCGAGGTTGAGGTTTTCTGCTCTTCCTGCTCAATCCTGCTGCCAACCTACAAGATTTATATCCTCTCCTCCAGAAGTCATGTAGTCTTTTTTTTTTTTTATCCCTCTTGTACAAGTAAAGTAGACTTTTAGCAGAAGTAGCTGAACTGCTGATTGATTAGTTTCAATAGAGCAGGTATTGATGTTTCATTGAGCACATGTGGTTGTGTGAAAGCGCTCGGTCGTCGGCGCTGTGAGGCAGAGCGCTCTCATTCAGTCAAAAGAGCAACAAAAGCCATTCCGAATTAGCCACATGGTTAGGGTACAAAAGGAGGACGCTTTTCTCGCCCGTCTCCTGTCCTCTCGGAGTAATTAAAAAGTGATAACTTCTAATCATCACAGTTTCATTCCTGTCAGCGTTTCTGCGTCTCTCCAACCCCAGCGCTGTTCTCATTATTTCACCGGGCCTCGCTTTCTTTTTTTCTTTTTTTCCCCTCCAGAGATTCTTCGTGATGTGGAGTTTTTTTTTGTGGGTTTCAGCAGGAGTGGATGTGCGTGTGTTTGTGTGAAGGGGAAAGCTGCAGGACTTTGAGTTCTGCCAAGGACAGGATGGAGGGTCAATCTGCACATGCTGACCCTCAAACCTAGGCACAGATCACAGGAAAGGAGATCTCGTCGGGCAGAGAGTGACTTTTCTTTGTTGCCGCTGCCTCTCTTGTCTGTCCCTCTTTTTTATTCCAGTTTGAAGCTCGTCTTCCACCACTTTCCATTATCCCCCCCCCCTTCCCCTCCCCCCAATAACACCCCAGATTTATCCCTCAATCAGTCATTAAACTTCCCTTTCTCTTCGTCGCGAGGTAAAGGTGTAAAGCGGGGAAGATGCAGACATTAAGGCGATTAATTGGCAGCTCCGTCGTCGCCTCCGAGCACGCCGAGATCTCATCTTAATTGAATGTCGCTCTCACCGCTAATCCCGCCGCTTTCAAACCCCCCATTTAGAAATCCTCCTCGACAAAAGCCTCTGTGTAATCGCTGTGTATCAACCCCCCCTCGTCTTTTTCCTCGCCACCCACCCTGGGGTAGGAAAAAGCTCCTTTTTGTCTCCTCATTTTGGGAGGGTGGTCTCTCCCCTGGCTAAAAGCTTGTTAAAGAGCCATTGCTAAAGGGCTCGTATTGAGGGGGAGGAGGGGGTCACGGAGTGGAGCCATGGGGTCTCAGACACCCGGGGGGACACAATCTGCCCCCAAGGTAAGAGCATTAAAGGGGATACTGGAGAGTGTGCGTGTGTTAGGACCACCGCTGAGATTCACTTTGTTGTGTAAATAGATCGGAATCAGCAGCGAGAGGCATCGTGAGACTTTGCTGTTTCATAACTTTCCAATATCCTCCCGGCTTTGATGAAGCCTCCTTCACCTCGTGTGTTATTGCAGCTCGATCACAGAGGTATTTAAAACCTCCCAGGTTGCCACCTGAGTCCTCTCAAGTGTCTCTCAAGCAGGAAGTGGCGGATTGTCTTTGTAATTCCTCCGGTTTTTGAGTTGCAGCGCTCTGAAACGCCTTGTTGATAAAAATAAGCCCCGACTCAAAAGCCGTCTTGGGTTGTACTGAAATAGAAATGGCTTCCATGACTTTCCAGGGAAGAATTGTGCTTCATTTTCTTGTTATCATCACTTCAAGAAAAGTGAACATGAGCCCTCAGCTGAAAGACGATCACCAAATGTGTTTTTGTCGACTTAAGAGATAAAGTTTAATTGGTATTTTGATTTATATTCAGCAGCTCCACTTAAACAATGTGTTTCATTTTTTTTTTTTTACTTTACCAGGATTATCTGACCCTCCCTGTGAATAATGACATGTTGTATTTTGAAAGGTAGAGGAACAAAGCCCGCTTTTATGCACCGTACGCAAAGCACAACCAAACTTTTACATATATGGCTTATATATCGGCTCATTGTCTGAAAATGTTTCTCTGCAGAAAACAACTTTTTAGACAAACTTGAGGGCAGAAAATTGCTAAACGGTCGATTTAAGGTTATTTGCGAGCGCATTCCCCTGACAAATCCTTTCGGAAAACTGTCGCTGCAAAAGATTTTAAAATAGCTCTTTGACTCCTTTTTTGTAAAGGTTGTAAGCGCTCTGTAAGGCACCGGGTGATGATGTCATCATGCAGCTAATATCTGCCGCGCTCTAATTAATACTCACTCGGTCGTCGTCTGTTTTTAATGACTAAACACCGTGGGTGAGATCGGCTCCTTTTGAGCGCCTTTTGACTGTGATGCAGACACCTTCCAAGGTTTATCTCGGTGACTGGAGCTCTGACTCACACTGTGGAGCGGAGTAGCCCCTCTTGGCCTTAAGGTCTTCTAACAGGCTGCTGTTTTAATTAAGCACCTCGACGAAGCGGTCGCAAGAGCACAGCTGACAAGACCGAGAGACAGAATGCGAGGGGACGGAGGATCATAGCCATGTGGAAAGTGTGAGCACCCACAACATTAGACCGGAGGACATTTTTGACTCCCACATACTTCAGCGCTGTGCCAAGATGAGAGGGGAAACCTGAACATGGATTCTCTTGATTCATTTGGCGGGGTGATGTGCCTGATGTAAGCCTCAGCAATCCTGGCATTGCTGTGCGGATCTTTTACAGCTGTGACAAGTGGCATGGCTGCTATATACGTATTCTTCTCGGGCCTACATAAGCTGTGATGTGCAATCAATGAAAACATCTTCAAGTGCATTTTATCCTCATGTACCGTGGCCTCTGTTTTGCATGTGATGTTTCTGCACTGGTGCTTGCAAAATGTAAGAGCAGACATAGCCTCTTGGTTTCAAAGTTAAGCTAATGCAGAACTCCCTTCAACCTGTTTTTTCTTCCTAAGCGCCGGTAGGGGAACCGAGCTGCTCGACTGGCAGCAACAAAATCTGACAAAACCCAAGAAGTGTCACCATCTCTTCAAACTCCCTCCGTCCAGCAAAAGACACAAAGCATTTCCCGCCTTAGATCACTGCCCTACCCTCATTTTTTGATGATTGCACATTGCTTATATAAAGACTGCACTTCCTCCACTGCTGCTCGTCATTTTTAGGAACTCAATCTGATGTGTAAGCTTTTTTTTTTTTTTGATGAATTTGTGTTTTTTATTCTTTGCACTAATTCCTCCAGATTTGCCTTCTAGCTTCCTCTTCTTTGTCTCCTCTAAATCCTGAAATAAATCAACTCTCCGTCCGACTCTAGTCACAAAGAGAGCAGGAAAATAAAGGAATCCGTGCGTGCACTCACACCCTCTTCACCCTCCATCCCCTCCTCTTTGAAGAAAAATAAAAGCTTGATATGGAGGTGGTGCTGAGGCCTCTTTTCCTCACTGGGTGACTGAACCTGACATTTTATTCCTCCTGCTCTCCATTTTACCGTCCTCTAATGACAGACATTTTCCCTCATTTTTTTTTTTTTTTTTTGTCGCCCTCCTCCATCTTATTTTTCGATGCCACGGGTCATTTTCTCCACGTTAGGCGGCAGTGGGTGGGCGGTGGATGTAGATGGAGACCTGTGGAAGGGGAGAGGAGGGAGAGGAGTACAGTAAGGTTGAGAGATGAGGATGAAATGTAAAGAGGGAGGAGGAGGAATGAGAAGAGCGGGGTATACCTCAGGGAAGGGTTATTACTTTTAAATGCTCCTCTGCTCCTCCATACCCCCTCCTCCTCCTCCTCCTCCTCCTTCCTCCCCCACTGTGCTGCAGGAAGACGTATGAAAAGGTTATTATGTTTCCTTTAGAAATGGCGTGCTCTCCGTCTGTGCCTTTCATCTCCAAATGGAATCACCACTCTACTTTCTCCTCCTCCTCCTCCTCACTACACCTTCATCTCTCTGTCTTGTATGCAACACCTGCTCCTCTTTTTCTTTCCCCTGCTTTTCTATTTTCTTCCATCTGACTCTTTAATCCGTTTCCCTGCTCCTTCCCTTTTCTTTTTTCTTTTTTTTTTTACCCTGTTGCGCATAATCAGAGAAGCTGTAGGAGTGTCACAGCGTTAGAC